TGGTTCCATTCTCAGATCTCCAAGGAATCTTCATACTGCTTTCCACACTGGCTGCACCAATTTGCAGTCCCACCAGAAATGTATGAATGTACCTTTTTTCCCCACATCCTTGCCAATGCTTATTGTTGTTTGTCTTCATAACAGCTGTCATTCTGACTTGAGTGAGATGTTATCTTAGAGTAGTTTTATTTGCTCTGATTGCTAGAGATGATGAACATTTTTTTCATATATTTGTTGATTGATTGTATATCCTCTTCTGAGAAGTGTCAGTTCAGGTCCTTGGCCTATTTGTTGATTGGGTTATTTGTTTTTTTGGTGTTTATCTTTTTGAATTCTTTATATACCCTAGAGATTAGTGCTCTATCTGAGGTGTGAGGGGTAAAAATTTGCTCCCAGGATATAGGCTCTCTTTTCACCTCACAGATTATTATTATTATTATTATTATTATTATTATTTACTTTTTGCTGAGAAAAAAAAACTTTTTAGTTTGGTTCCATCCCATTTATTGATTCTTGGTTTTAATTCTTATGCTATATGAGTCTTATTAAGGAAGTTGGAGCCTAATCCCACATGATGAAGATTAGGGACTACTTTTTCTTCTATTTGACACAGAGTCTCTCGTTTAATTCCTAGGTCCTTCATCCATTTTGAGATAAATTTTGTGCATGGTGAGAGATAGGGGTTTAATTTCATTTTGTTGCATATGGATTTCCAGGTTTCCCAGAACCATTTGTTAAAGATGCTATCTTTTTCTCCAGTGCATGTTTTTGGAACCTTTGTCTAATATAAGATAACTGTAATTTTGTGGGTTAGTCTCTGTGTCCTCTATTCTGTTCCATTTGTCTACCAGTCTGTTTTGGTTCCAATACCATGCTGTTTTTGTTACTGTTGCTCTGTAGCTTAGTTTAAAATCTGGTATAGTGATAGCTTCACTCTTCCTGCTAAAGATTGCACATCAATCTTTAAAAAAAATTCCATTGTGCATATACATCATATTTTCTTTATCCATCTATCCATTGATTGACATCTAGAGTCATTCCATAGTTTGGTTATTGTGAATTGTGCTGATATACACATGAATATGTATGTATGTATCACTATAGTATAATGACATTAATGTATTTAGTATAAATTCCAAGATATTTAGTTTATTATTTTTTTAAATTTTTGGGGGGTCTTTTTTGGAACTGAGGGTTGAACTCAGTTTATTCCTACCAAATTTTCAAGTTCATCACCCCTTTTTCAATAGTGTAGAGTGAATAAAGATATGGAGAAAAGATTAGCTTTATAATACCTGAAATCAAGAGTAAAGAAAAGGCAGGCATGGTGGTACAGGTCTGTTTCCAGCAGCTTGGGAGGCTGAGGCAGGAAGATTTTAAATTCAAAGCCAGCTTCATCAACTTAGCAAAGGCCTAAGCAACTTGCGAGACTCTATATCAAAATACATTTTTAAAAACAGAGTTGGAGATACAGCTCAGTGGTTAAGTCCCTGGGTTAAAATTCTTGGTATCCAAAAAAAAAAAAAAGAGTAAATAAAAATATTTTGCTTCAGGAGTTTGAAAAAATTGTTTCAAGTAGTCTGGAGTTTTAGCTTAGTGGTAGAAAGCTTGCCTATCATGCATAAGGTCCTAGGTTTGATCCTCAGCACCACATAAAAATTGATTCAAGTATATAAATATTCATTTTTAGATTAAAGACATGATGCTGGAATAATTACATCTAATAATTATACAGCCTCTCCTCTATTCTTTATGTATTTTAACCCAACTTACTCAAACTTGACAAGAATTATAGCATTAATATGCTTATTTTTGGGGGGCTGGGGATGTGGCTCAAGCGGTAGCGCGCTTACCTGGCATGCGTGCGGCCCGGGTTCGATCCTCAGCACCACATACCAACAAAGATGTTGTGTCTGCCGAAAACTAATAAATAAATAAATATTTTAAAAAAAATATGCTTATTTTTATGGGTGCTGTAGTGCACACCTATAATCACAGTGGCTCAGGATGTTGAGGCAGGAGGATTTCCAGTTCAAAGCCAGCCTCAGCAAATGAGACACTAAGCTATTCAGTGAGACTCTGTCTCTCAATTATATACAATTTAGGTTCTTGGGATGTGGCTCAGTGGTTGAGAACCCCTGAGTTCAACACTGGTACCTCCCTCCCCCAAAATATGCCTTTTTATAAATAAGGAAACTGAAACACAGAGAAAGTACTTAACTTTCTATAGTCAAAGAAGCAGTTAAGATGAAGGCTATATCTGAACCCATTAGGTTTTTCTCCCTAGAACTCCATCAATTAATTATCAGAAAAACTGGGAACAGGTCTAGACACCTGAGAAAGTCTTCATCACAGGTCTGACATAGTAGAGGAAACTAGACACCTGTATATGGTGGGAACTACACACAACCAATTGCTACTCCCTTCTCTTCCCAGAGGAGCAAGAGTCTTAAGTTACTGGGGCATAGTATACATGAAGAATCATTGCTGCTAAGAGAAAGGAGCACCAACAATCCCTCTAACCATAGCATCTGGCAGGATCATCCAAAGTCTCCAACAGCCCAGGGAGGGGTACAATCACTGGGAAGCCTCCATCCCCAGGACCCAGAAATGGCACCAGCTTAATGCCACAATCCAGCTGGGCAAAATAACCGGGTGGTGACAAGCAACTTGAAGGTTGAAGCGGGAACTGCTTTATTGCAGGAAAACTCAGCGGGAACTCAAGGTAGTGGGGGCTGCTTTATTGCAGAACAGCAGAGGTATATATATCTAACTGATTACACACAGCTTGATTCAATTAGCATCATCTAGATACAGCAGTCAGCTAATAAGTAATCCCCACAAACTTAATGGCTCTGTGGCATTGCCTTACAAACCACTCCTCCTGGCAAACTGCCAGGTGCCATCTTGACTTGAATTGCTGTCCCCAACAGCCTAAGATTGAAGCTCACCTGGCAAAGAAGATAATAGAATATCCCCCAGTTCTCACCACCAGACAAGCAGGGGTGAAGCAGCAACAATCTAATTCACTGAGAGAGCGTCAAGAACTTGGAGGTTGAGCAGATCAATGATTCAGGAGGAAAGGGAAGACCTCAAGCTGACAGCAGGGTAGACATTGAGAAAGGCCGTCTATAGCGTGTGCTGAAATCACTACAGACTTTGATAGCAAGAAAAAGAAATGGATGAATCAAATAATTGTTTACTCATTAAATAAATTGAATGTGTAGTTAGCAGCCTAACAGAAAACTCCAAGCCCAGAGGTTGCATTGGGGAATTTAACCAAGTTTCAAGAACTATGTACCAATTGTACACAAAATGACCAATATTTAGCAAGAGAGTAAACATAATATATATAATAAATATAAATGGGGCAATAGAATTTAGAGATTATTTTCTAAGAAAAATAAATAGAAAGATAAGGGATGAGTTCAATATCACTGAAGGAGTCACAAAGCATAACTGATAGATTTATTTCCAAAGGAATTCAAGTCCAGAATTCAATTTTGATACAAATTTCTTTTAAAAATTTGTGACATCATATTTTCTATCGTAATAGAGTGGGGTTTTTTGTGTGTGTTTGAGTGTTTTTTATGAAGAGCATGCTAACAAATCTCTCCTTACAGTTTTAAATGATTATGTGTGATTTAAAAACTAAGCAGTTCTACAATAAAAGTATTTTAAGAAACTTAGGCTTTTCTAAGATTTCATCAATTTCCCTTGAATTTTTTCCTCATATAATGTCAAAAATGTCACATGGATCTAGATAACACTGAGGGATGATGTATGAAACTAGAGTTCCATTAATACAAATAAACAAAAGCCCACTTAGGTTGTGATAGACCTGGGACATCTCAGGGACATGAACATTCCATAAGGATGAATAGCCTCTAAAAGTGGTGTTAAGAAGAAAAAAAAGGGGGGAGGGGAAATGACAATAGACAAAACTGGAATTGAATAGATTATTTGAAAGAGATATCAGCAAGTTTGACTCTATAAACACATCCAACAATTAAACAATAAATCTTTAAAAATAAAAGATAACAAATTCAACAAAATTGTCAAGTTTTGCACATAATTATCATATTCACAGTATTACTTTCTTAACATCTGACATTAACATAGCAAAGTCAAGAAAACATTCCTTTTTGTTTTGTTTTGTGTTTTTGGTGCTGGGGATTGAACCCATGGCCTTGTGTGTGTGAGTCAAGCACTCTACCAACTGAGCTATATTCCCAACCCCAAAAACATTATTTTTGATACTGAATTCAGGCATATGAAAATACTCTAGGATTTGTTATTTTATACCAACACTAATCAAACTGATCTGGTATTTTTTATAGTTCTTTATGAAAGTATATAGGGGTTTGTTGTTGTTGTTGCTGTTTTGGTTTTTTGGTTGTATATAAATTTTGCTTAGTTTTGCCTTTAGCTCCTGGTAACTTCAATGTGCTCAGTAACAATGGAAGCAAGACAGTGTTGGTTTTCTTCCACAGTAGAAATCTAAATAATTTGTAAACATTGGAAATATATAAATACTTTATATATGCATAAGACTTGGGCTGTAATGTTTATTTCTGGGTTAAGGAAGGAGACTTAACAGGCCAAAGAATTGCTACTGATAGACCTTCCCTAAGATATATCTATGTGTTTTCCTAATGTTCTCTGTCCAGTTTGAACATCAGAAATTACTGCCACATCTTTCTTTTTCCTTTTTCTTCTCCCATCCATCTTTTTTTTTTTTTTTCTCGTGGGACTAGCAATTGAACCCAGGAGCATTCTGCTACTGAACCCTAGCTCCAGACATTTTTTTTCTTAATTTTCTTTTTTTTATTATTATTTTTATTTTTTAAAAAGGTTGTTGCTAAGTTTCCAAAACTGGACTTGGACTTGGCAGTCTTCCTGTCTCAGCCTCCTTCGGCCCTAGTATTTACCAGCATGTGCCACCATGCCCAATTCACTACTCCTTTCTTAAAACATTCTTTATAAACACCAGGGCTATTTTATTTCTTGGCAAACATTTTCAGCACCTGGTCTCTAATCTGTTTAGTTCTGACTCCATAAATTATAGGGTTGAGCGCAGGTGGGATGACTACATAGAAATTGGCTAGAAGGATGTGGATGTAGCGTGGTATGTTCCGGCCAAACCTATGGGTCATGAATGAAAAAAATGCAGGGGTGTAGAAAGTCAGCATGACACACACATGAGAGCCACAGGTGCTAAGTGCTTTGAGCCGGGCATCCTGAGAAGAGAGTCGAAATATAGCCTGAAGGATCTGGACATAGGAAATGACAATGGCTATGATGTCACACACCAGGATAGAAATGGCACACAAGCCATAGATGATGTTGACCTTGATGCTGGCACAGGCCAGGCGGGCAATGCCCATGTGTTCACAATAAGTGTGTGGGATGACATGGTGCCCACAAAATGGTAACCGCAGGATGAGTAGAACAAAAGGAATGGCGATAGACAAGGTTCTCAGGAGGATTACCCACGCAATGATGAACACCACCTTGTTAGTCAGCACTAATGTGTAGCGGAGAGGGTTACAGATGGCCACATAACGGTCATAGGCCATGGCCACAAGTACAGCTGACTCCATGCCAGTGTACAGGTGGATGAAGAACATCTGGATGAGACAGCCCTCAAACGTGATTTCTCTCAGGTTGAACCAGAAGATGCCAAGCATCTTGGGAATGGTGGATGTGGACAGGCCCAGGTCAATAGATGACAAAATGGCCAGAAAGTAGAACATGGGCTGATGGAGACTGTGTTCGGTCTGGATCACATAAAGGATGGTTATATTCCCAAGTACAGCAGTCAGGAACACAGCAAAGAAAGGAAGACCAATCCAGTGATGCATATTTTCCAGTCCAGGGATCCCCAGAAGGAGGAAAGAGTGTGGATGAAATAGGGTGGTATTAAGTGAGGCCATGTTTTGGAGCTCTCTATATTAAAATGCATTTAAGGCCAAATTCCTCTCATTCACTGAGTCTCATCCTTATTTAGTGCACACACAAAAAAAAAGAAAAAAGAAAGAAAGAGAAAGAGAAACTTCTATCATATTTACCCATATTTATGCATCATAGAGGGCTGAAAGTACATAAAGCTTAATGGTACAATGTGGTGTCACTTCATCACAACAATTCAATTTAATTCAACATTTCAGTTCAACAAACTTATTATCCAACATTTGCTTGCAGAATTGTATGCAAAGACTTATTGCAAATGATGAACAAGAGAAAGGTTCTTTTCCTCAAGAAACTTAAAGTATTAGTGATTTAAAGTTAGTGTTAGTGGTTGTTATCAGTTACACAAGTCAGCAATTTAAATTAATAAAATGTTATGAAGATAAAATTATATCCTTGCCATTTTAGATACACAGAGATATATCCTGGAATTTTTATGCTATTATTAGAAGAATTATTTCATTTATGAATATATATTTGTGAACAAAAAAAGTAAAAATGGAGTTAGCATGATAAAAATCATTATGATTGTATATAGACCATGTTTTTGTGCTGTGCAAATCTAATTCGATCTTCAAAGAAAATATCAATGCAGCAAACTAGAATCTTCGAAAATCATTTGAATATGTGTAGACATCCTATTATTTAAGCTTCTGAAACTATTTCTTATTCTATAGTTGTCTTCTGATCTCTCCAATACACTCTGCCTTGATATAATACTATTGAAGCCACAGTAAATTATGTTTCAGGACAATTCTGTTTCTGTGGTCTGCTTCTAATAGAATGCACATACACACTGTTCATTTCTGAAGTGATGATAGGCTTTGCTGATTTTAGGTATCTTCTGGTTGACACTATCAAAAAAAACATGGATTTACATGCCTGCATACACAACAGCATTAATGTTCAAGTTTATAAGACGTTACAAATTATCAGGTATTTAAAGTAGTTTACATACATCACCCCTTGACACTAATTTTATTACTTCTTTTTATATCAAGTTTTTGTCAGGATATATCCCATTAATTAAGCACTACTAAAGAGCTCTCTTACACATATTTCTCAGCATATGTATTCATGTATGAGTGCATGGGTGTGTCTTGCAAAGATGCATAGCAGCTTTGGTCTTCAAAAAATTCCCTTAAAAGCCTTATAATGGAGGGGCTGGGGTTGTGGCTCAGTGGTAGAACACTCACCTACCACATGCTGGG